CTAATCTATTCTACTTCAAATTTGGGCCCCAATGATAGGCGCCAAAGTCGTTCAAATCGTTACGAACTTCGCCGCGCAATTTGCCGCGCGGATCTTCGGACGCACGTTCGTACACATACCCATATACGGCTATGGACACACATATGGACAACTCGTCCAAGTACTAACATTTCTCTATATGTGGTCATCTATAAACAGCACCAACGGCTCGCATTGCAATTTAATAGGAAAATTGATGCGGTGATTTTCAGGTATCCGATGGCATTTGCTTTTATGTGTATAGGCTGCACGATTAACTATCCGGCCACTCTTGCTGTACAAGCTCAAACATTTGCCGAGTATATGTTTCAGGTAAATCAGTAAAATGATTCGAGTTAAAGGGAAAATCCGCGAAAAGGCTCAGGATTCAAAGATCCTCTAAGCCAAGACGATTCCAAATACCCTTTATTTGATGATTTGATTCTCCTTTCTGTCATTTATGCTCCTTGAACTAGTAATCTCTGGATTCTGATATCGGAAATGACCTTTGGAGAGTCTTTGTTCTTTTTGCGCGACATTGATAAAGCCATGGACTTTTTTTCTGGTTTGATCCTTTTTTTGGTTTGAGAATCCATCTAAACAGTGTACTGGATCAGCGAATAGGTGAAGATTATAGGAGACAGTTGATAGAACGAGAAGGATTTTCTTCCCTGATATGAGGCACCCTTTTGAAGTTGAAAAGTGAAGGTGTGGGGGAAAGTGGTGCTTCGATGACAAAGAAAGTTTCTTTTCTATGACGAGATTTCTATGACGGAGATAGCATAGAAGGGGTATTTGGATGAGATTTCGGTTTTTGCAATTGAAGAGTCGGCTACGTTGAATCGAAAAACTCAGACTGGCCTTACACTCTTGCTATGGGTCACGGCTAGTTGTTTGGATTCCCAAAGAGGGTGTCCCTTTTGAATCGTGCAGCCTTTACAACGCCATGAAATCTCGTCCTCCTGTGGGCGTGGCGACCAAGCCGGTCCATGAGCATGTATTGCGCTCTATTCAGGCCGTTTTTGATCTGACAGCGTCCCTATGGGATATACTTGGATGGATAAAAATTGGATAACGTTCAGGCTAAAAAGATTGAATAACTTTCGGGATGAAATTGTGAACTGCTGAACCAGCTGCTCTAATACGAATGCCTTAATCTGAAACAACTCTCAGAGAGTTTTCAGGCGTACTTGCCTCCCTTTTCATGTTTTTTTTTT